GCCGCTGCCTGAAGCCGCGCCCCAGCCACGCGTTGTGCACCAGCCAGGAGCTGACCCTGTAGGCAGGATCGCGGGCTCTGGAGGGCTGCCCTGGGCCTCAGGCAGCTTTCCTCGCCCCAGGCTAGGTCCACTGGGCCTGTGCCGGCCTCTGGTAGCACCCGTCGAGCTGCTCCTGTGGGCCCCGGATCTCAGTTGGCTCTGGGCCGCAGCAGTGATGTCACACTGCACACTGACGTTCGCAGGTCCAGGCAGCCCAGCCTGGCCTGGTTACCGACTCCAGCTCTGTCTGCCGAGGCTGTGCGCCTGTCAGCTGCCAGACCTAGTCGTGGTCGTGGTCGGCGTCCTCGGCCACTGCAAGCTGAGGAGCCCAGCCTGGAGGTTCCACCAAGAGGCGGCTGTTGTCCCCCTCTGCACACACCGATGCTGGGCCGAGGCTCCGCCCCTGCCCAGTGATGGAGCTTCGAGGTCAGTGCTACTCAGAGCCCTGAACGCCCGTTTCCTGCCAAGGCTTCGGGATGTTGCTGCGCCCCGGATCTTCAACCTTGGGGCCCCCGCTGGATCCCCATGCCCCGATGCACCCGGGCCCCTGCCTGCTCTCCTTGGACAGCATCACCGTGGGTCTCCCTGACGTGGTGCCGCTGACTCCTCCCAGCACCAGCGTGCAGCCATTCAGAAGCTTCTGCAGGGACACTGCTGGGGACTGGGGGCCCTGGGAATCAGGCAGAGATGGGGTGGGTGCGCCGCACTTGCGCCTCCAGAACCTTGGCTGCGTCTGTGCTTGCCCCCGGCCCTGGTGTGCCTGATGCTAGTCCCCTCTGGCTCAAGCCACAGGGAGGCGCTTTCTGGTGGCATGAGCCAAGTTCAGCACCAGTGAACGCTCTTCAGCCCCTGAGCCCTGACCATCTGCTCTGTGACTGTGCAGCGGCCCCTGACCCTCAGAACCTGTAAAGTTCCCAGCCACGGGAGCATTCCTGGCCTGTCCCCACTGGAGACCTAGTACCTGACTGGCATTTCTGATTTCTGCCTGTTATGTATTCCTCGTGCAAAGAGAAACGAGAACTCCTTGGCGTGTTTTTAAACAAATTGTATATGAAGCAGAGTAGATGAAAGGTAGTCAATGATTGTATTTTTGTATTCTTGTTGCTGAAGTTGTTTAATTGCTCAAATAAACTTCACTGAATGAATTTAGTGTAAGTTTTTTCTCTAAGCTGGTTTAAAAAAGAAAATGTAGGAATAAGCTTATCTTAGCAATGCAGTCAGAAAAAAGGGATAGGATCAAGTACTCATGAATGCCAATGGCAGCTGACAAAATTCAAGCCTAGGTAGGCCTTGTTTCAAAACATACCACCACGAGGAAGCTGCATACCCTCTGAAGATGCAGACTTTTTATTTAGTTACTATTTAGTACCAAAGTCAGCATTTTACTGAAGAAGAAATACTTGATACATGTCTAGCAAAATATATAGAATTTAGAGGCATCCCTAATACAAAATGAAGGTTATATGTGCGGAAGGCAGGTGGCAAAATGTATTTTATTGTTGCAGTTGGTAGAAACGGAATAGCAGGACAACCCGGGGTGGGGAGAGTCTCGTCTTCCTTTTCTCCCCTGATCTTCACCCTAAGAGGGATTCTTGGCTGCCCAGAATTACAGCCCCAGACTCTTTAGTAAAATGCTCACGGGCATGTCGGCCACGAGGAAGCAGATGATAAGTTTATTTTTTTTAAAGATTTAGTTATTTGCTTGAAAGTCAGTGTTAAACAGAGAAGCAGAGAGAGAGCAGAGAGAGAGAGAGAGAGGTCTTCCATCTGCTGGTTACTCCCCAATTGGCCACAAGGGCCAGAGCTGCGCCGCTCCAAAGCCAGGAGCAGGAGACTCTTCCAGGTCTCCCACGGCTCCACGGCTACGCAGGGGCCCAAGCACTTGGGCCATCTTCACTGCTTTCCCAGGCCACAGCAGAGTGCAGGATTGGAAGTTTAGCACCCTGGACTCAATTGGCGCCCATATGGGATGCTTGCAGGACTGGCAGTGGCTTTCACCGGCTATGCCACAGCAGTGTCCCTGCATATGCAAATCGGAATGACATACCACTACACTCTCACTCGATTGGACAACACCCAAAGTTGATACTCATCCAGAGCTTGACAAAGTGAAAAGTGTAAATTGTCCTCCTAGGCAGAGAGTGTTTCAACTGATACAAACTTGGGCAGAACAGTTTGAATGGTCAAGTGTGCATTCACAGACACGTTTTCCAAGATCTGTTCTTCTCTTTTGAAAGATGTATTCATGCATTCGAAAGGCAGAGTTAGAGAGAGGCAGTGATCCTCTGGTTCACTCCCTAATGGCCTCAACCTCCAGAGCTGAGACGAGCCAAGCCAGGAGCCAGGAGCCAGGAGCTGCTTCTGCGTCTCCCATGGGGTGCAGTCCTGGGGCCATCCTCTGTGGCATACCCAGGTACAATAACAGGGAGCTGGACCTGATGAGGAGTAGCCCGGACTGGAACCAGCACCCATGTGGGATGCTGGCCCCATAGGTCCTAGACATCGGCTTTACCCGCTGTGCCACAGCGCCGGCCCTTCCACAGAGCTTTGAAGTACACTTGAATGAGGCTGCTGCCAGCACATGACATGCTGGTTGACAATACACATTTTTATGAATAGAATGAGCACACTGAAATTAGAATGAAAAATGAATACATACATTAGAAATAGTTGTTTATCGTCAAGTACTGCGTGCATAAGACACTATTTCAATGCGTTTTCATTAATTTAATAAGAATGTAGCGGATGTATCAAATTGCACATATTAATGTGATTCTGTGTGATGTCTTGATGCATGTGTACATTGTGTAATAGCTATTCATGGGACTGGTGCTATGGCCTAGGGGGCAACACCACCACCTGCAATGGCAGCATCCCATATGGGTGCCAGTTAGAGTCTCAGTGCTGGGTAGTTAGCCGCATACCATAATCACTTTTGTCTTCTTTTTTTTTTTTTAAAAAACAGGTTTTTGGTATGTAGTCACATATACAACTTCTGTTTATTAAGTGGTGTTCTTTTAATTTATTTGAAAGGCAGAGTGACCGAGAGAGGGGAAGAAACAGAGCAAAGAGGAGATCTTCCAGGGAGGCTAGCAGGGAGCTGCATTGGAAACAGAGCAGCCAGGAGTCCCGCACAGCTGTGGGCTGCTGGAGCCCTAAGTGGAGGCAACACAGCCTCGGCTCCACCTTCTTCACTTTAGTCCTTTCCTACTGAACTCACTTGAATCCTTTCTACCGAATGCGTCTTTTTCTTAACTATGAAGGATCTTCTAAAAGTTGCTAGAAATGTATTAAGAGGCTGGCGCCGAGGCTCACTTGGCTAATCCTCTGCCTGTGGTGCTGGCAGCCCCGGTTCTAGTCCCAATTGGGGCGCTGGATTCTGTCCCAGTTGCTCATCTTCCAGTCCAGCTCTCTGCTGTGGCCCAGGAAGGCAATGGAGGATGGCCCAGGTCCTTGGGCCCTGCACCCACATGGGAGACCAGGAGGAGGCACCTGGCTCCTGGCTTGGGATCGGCACAATGTGCCAGCCGCAGCGGGATGGCCATGGCAGCCATTTGAGAGGTGAAACAACAGAAGGAAGACCTTTCTCTCTCTCTCTGTCTCTCTCTCTCTCTCTGTCTAACCGTGCCTGCCTTCCTATAAATAAATGAATAAAGAAAGAAAGAAAGAAAAGAAAAAGAAAAAAAGGAAATGTATTAAGAAAATCCATGTTTCTATATCAATTTTTAACCCTAAAATAATTGTATTTTTAAAAGGAATTTTGCAAATCTTTGAAAAGGACTTTTGTGTAAAATGTCCCCTTAGGGGCCTGTAGGGTGAGAGAAAGGATTAGTTCACACCCTACAGGGCTGACCTCCCATAGTGCATGTTCTGGCCACTCCCCTTCCACTCCAGCTTTCTGCCACTGCACCTGGGAAAGCTGTGGGAATGGCCCAAGTACTCCAGCCCCTGCCCCTCTTGGGGGAGACCAGGATGGAATTCCTGGCTCCTGGGCTCAGCCTGGCCCAGCCCTGCCTGTGGCTCCCAGCTGGGGAGGGAGCCAGCAGATGCAAGACAGGTTGTTGTCACTCTTCCTTCCCAATGAAGCTTTTCACAAAGTACCCGCTCCATTCGTTTGATATTCGTGTTGCTCCCTGGGATTTCTTTGGTTGTATCTGTCAAGGTTGCCTGCCCCAACACTTGATTTTCACTCTGATGTTCCTTTGAGTTTGGCTACAAATGTCAACGCAAAGGGGGGCAAAATGAAGCTGGCTGTCAGACAGAAACCCAGCTCTGGGATTTCCTGAGCTGAGGGCTGATTGGATTCGAACCTGGCCCAGGTATAAAGCCGGAAGGAAGCGCGGAGAGATGGAGCCTCCTTGCGACTGCAGCGGCCACGGGAAACCACCTCTCTCTGAGTCCTAGAGTGTGTTCACCTGGATCAGGATTTCATCCACGGCAGGTAGCTCAATTTCTTATTCTGTTAGGCCATATTTGGTGCCTGTGCTTTTGAGAAAGTCCTTATGCCAAAAGCGTTGAAGACTCCATTTCAACTTTAAAAACGTCTTTGGGAGACGTTTATTAATGCCACCTATGTTATCCTAATATGCTTTATGTGCGTTGTCTCTCTGTTCTCTTCGTGTTTCTCCATGTACTCTTCTGTAGGAGTATTCACGGATTTTTTCAAACATGTATTTATTTTTTGAGTGGCAGGGTTAGACAGAGAGATGGAGAGACGGGGAAAGAGGTCTTCCCTCCTTGGGTTCTGCTATGACATTAACAAGCCTGGAAAAGAGACCTTCTCATTCTCCACATTTCGATCTCTGTTAGGGCTTCCCATAGAAAGGAAACCACGTAGCAAATCAGCAGAGAGGGGCAGGCCGCTCTAGCTTAGGTGGTTAATCCTCCGCCTAGGGGCCAGCATCCCCAATGGGCTCTGATTGGAGTTCCAACGGCTCTGCTCTCAACCCTGCTCCCTGAGATGGCCTGGGAAAGCAGTGGAAGGAGATCCAAGTGCTCTGACCCACTGTACCCACGGGGGATGCAGAAGCAGCTCCAGGTTTGGATGGGCCCAGCTCTGGCTGTTGAGGCCATTTGGGGAGTGAACAGGCAGATGGAAGACCTCCTCTCTCTCTCTCTCTGTGTGTGTGTGTGTGTGTGTGTGTGTGTGATTCTGCCTGTGAAATGAATGAATCCATCTTTACTAAAGAGAGACTACGTAGAGAAGATCCTCTGGGGGAAATTCTAGGGGGACGATCTAGAACACACCTGGGGACTCAGAGTCGCCCACTTTCCTGTCTTGCAGCCATGACGCCTGAGAGCTCCGGCCCCCAGAACCCCAGCTGCCACATCATGACATTCTACCCAACCATGGAGGAGTTTATGGACTTCAACCAATTTATCGCTCAGATGGAATCTCAGGGTGCACACCGAGGAGGCCTGGCCAAGGTCATCCCACCCAAGGAGTGGAGGGCCAGACAGAGCTACGACGACATGGATGACATCTTGATAGCCCGCCCCCTCCAGCAGAAGGCCTATGGCGGGGCAGGTGTCTTCACTCAGTTCCACAGAAAGAGGAGAGCCATGACCCTGAGACAGTATCGCCAGCTGGCCACCAGCACAAAATACCAGACCCCAGCGCACCTGACTTTCGAAGAGTTGGAGCAAAAGTACTGGAAGACCCGTGTCTACGATGCCCCGATCTACGGCGCTGGCATCAGCGGCTCTCTGTTGATGAAAACACGGCACACTGGAACCTCAGGCGCCTGGGCTCGCCTCTGGACCTGCTGGCGCAGGAGTGCGGCGTCGTCATCGAGGGCGTCAACACGCCCTACCTGTACTTTGGCATGTGGAAGACCACGTTCGCCTGGCACACGGAGGACATGGACCTGTACAGCATCAACTACCTGCACTTCGGGGAGCCCAAGACGTGGTACGCGGTGCCCCCGGAGCACGGGCGGCGCCTGGAGCGCCTGGCCGGGCAGCTGTTCCCGGGCAGTTCCCGCAGCTGCCAGGCCTTCCTGCGGCACAAGGTGGCCCTCATCTCGCCCAGCGTCCTGCGGCAGAACGGCATCCCCTTCCGCCGCGTCACTCAGCAGGCTGGCGAGTTCATGGTGACCTTTCCTTACGGCTACCACGCGGGCTTCAACCACGGCTTCAACTGCGCCGAAGCCATCAATTTCGCCACCCCGCGCTGGATCGACTATGGCAAAGTGGCCTCCCAGTGCAGCTGCGGGGAGGCCAGGGTCACCTTTGACATGGACCCCTTCGTTCGTATCCTGCAACCCGAGCGCTACGAGCTGTGGAAACGCGGGCAAGACCGTGGCGCTGTGGCCCTCCCGGAGCCCATGGGCCAAACAAGCCAGGATCCACACACTAGCCGGGAGCCAGGCACCAGCCAGCCGCTTCTCACCAGCCAGGGGCCAAGCCTCAGCCAGGAGCCACGCAGCAGTGAGGAACCTCACAGCAGCCAGGAGCTTCTCACCAGCCAGGGGCCAAGCCTCAGCCAGGAGCCAGGCACCAGTGAGGAGCCATGCAGCAGCCAGAAATCACGCCGCTGCCTGAAGCCGCGCCCCAGCCACGCGTTGTGCACCAGCCAGGAGCTGACGGCCTGTAGGCAGGATCGCGGGCTCTGGAGGGCTGCCCTGGGCCTCAGGCAGCTTTCCTCGCGCCCAGGCTAGGTCCACTGGGCCTGTGCCGGCCTCTGGTAGCCCGTCGAGCTGCTCCTGTGGGCCCCGGATCTCAGTTGGCTCTGGGCCGCAGCAGTGATGTCACACTGCACACTGACGTTCGCAGGTCCAGGCAGCCCAGCCTGGCCTGGTTACCGACTCCAGCTCTGTCTGCCGAGGCTGTGCGCCTGTCAGCTGCCAGACCCTGGTCGTAGTCGTGGTCTGGTCGGCGTCCTCGGCCACTGCAAGCTGAGGAGCCCAGCCTGGAGGTTCCACCCAAGAGGCGGCTGTTGTCCCCCTCTGCACACACCGATGCTGGCGCCGAGGCTCCGCCCCTGCCCAGTGATGGGGCTTCAGAGGTCAGTGCTACTCAGAGCCCTGAACGCCCGTTTCCTGCCAAGGCTTCGGGATGTTGCTGCGCCCCGGATCTTCAACCCTTGGGGCCCCCGCTGGATCCCGATGCACCCGGGCCCCTGCCTGCTCTCCTTGGACAGCATCACCGTGGGTCTCCCTGACGTGGTGCCGCTGACTCCTCCCAGCACCAGCGTGCAGCCATTCAGAAGCTTCTGCAGGGACACTGCTGGGGACTGGGCGTCTCCTGGGAATCAGGCAGAGGAGGGGGTGGTGCGCCGCACTTGCGCCTCCAGAACCTTGGCTGCGTCTGTGCTTGCCCCCGGCCCTGGTGTGCCTGATGCTAGTCCCCTCTGGCTCAAGCCACAGGGAGGCGCTTTCTGGTGGCATGAGCCAAGTTCAGCACCAGTGAACGCTCTTCAGCCCCTGAGCCCTTGACCATCTGCTCTGTGACTGTGCAGCGGCCCCTGACCCTCAGAACCTGTAAAGTTCCCAGCCACGGGAGCATTCGTCCTGGCCTGTCCCCACTGGAGACCTAGTACCTGACTGGCATTTCTGATTTCTGCCTGTTATGTTTCCTCGTGCAAAGAGAAACGAGAACTCCTTGGCGTGTTTTTAAACTTAAATTGTATATGAAGCAGAGTAGATGAAAGGTAGTCAATGATTGTATTTTTGTATTCTTGTTGCTGAAGTTGTTTTAATTGCTCAAATAAACTTCACTGAATGAATTTAGTGTAAGTTTTTTCTCTAAGCTGGTTTAATAAAGAAAATGTAGGAATAAGCTTATCTTAGCAATGCAGTCAGAACAAAAGGGATAGGATCAAGTACTCATGAATGCCAATGGCAGCTGACAAAATTCAAGCCTAGGTAGGCCTTGTTTCAAAACATACCACCACGAGGAAGCTGCATACCCTCTGAAGATGCAGACTTTTTATTTAGTTACTATTTAGTACCAAAGTCAGCATTTTACTGAAGAAGAAATACTTGATACATGTCTAGCAAAATATATAGAATTTAGAGGCATCCCTAATACAAAATGAAGGTTATATGTGCAGGAAGGCAGGTGGCAAAATGTATTTTATTGTTGCAGTTGGTAGAAACGGAATAGCAGGACAACCCGGGGTGGGGAGAGTCTCGTCTTCCTTTTCTCCCCTGATCTTCACCCTAAGAGGGATTCTTGGCTGCCCAGAATTACAGCCCCAGACTCTTTAGTAAAATGCTCACGGGCATGTCGGCCACGAGGAAGCAGATGATAAGTTTATTTTTTTTAAAGATTTAGTTATTTGCTTGAAAGTCAGTGTTAAACAGAGAGAAGGAGAGGCAGAGAGAGACAGAGAGAGAGAGAGAGAGAGAGGTCTTCCATCTGCTGGTTTACTCCCCAATTGGCCACAAGGGCCAGAGCTGCGCCGCTCCAAAGCCAGGAGCAGGAGACTCTTCCAGGTCTCCCACGGCTCCACGGCTACGCAGGGGCCCAAGCACTTGGGCCATCTTCACTGCTTTCCCAGGCCACAGCAGAGTGCAGGATTGGAAGTTTAGCACCCTGGACTCAATTGGCGCCCATATGGGATGCTTGCAGGACTGGCAGTGGCTTTCACCGGCTATGCCACAGCAGTGTCCCTGCATATGCAAATCGGAATGACATACCACTACACTCTCACTCGATTGGACAACACTCCAAAGTTGATACTCATCCAGAGCTTGACAAAGTGAAAAGTGTAAATTGTCCTCCTAGGCAGAGAGTGTTTCAACTGATACAAACTGGGCAGAACAGTTTGAATGGTCAAGTGTGCATTCACATACACGTTTTCCAAGATCTGTTCTTCTCTTTTTGAAAGATGTATTCATGCATTCGAAAGGCAGAGTTAGAGAGAGGCAGTGATCCTCTGGTTCACTCCCTAATGGCCTCAACCTCCAGAGCTGAGACGATCCTAAGCCAGGAGCCAGGAGCCAGGAGCCAGGAGCTGCTTCTGCGTCTCCCATGTGGGTGCAGTCCTGGGGCCATCCTCTGTGGCATACCCAGGTACAATAACAGGGAGCTGGACCTGATGAGGAGTAGCCCGGACTGGAACCAGCACCCATGTGGGATGCTGGCCCCATAGGTCCTAGACATCGGCTTTACCCGCTGTGCCACAGCGCCGGCCCCTTCCACAGAGCTTTGAAGTACACTTGAATGAGGCTGCTGCCAGCACATGACATGCTGGTTGACAATACACATTTTTATGAATAGAATGAGCACACTGAAATTAGAATGAAAAATGAATACATACATTAGAAATAGTTGTTTATCGTCAAGTACTGCGTGCATAAGACACTATTTCAATGCGTTTTCATTAATTTAATAAGAATGTAGCGGATGTATCAATTGCACATATTAATGTGATTCTGTGTGATGTCTTGATGCATGTGTACATTGTGTAATAGCTATTCATGGGACTGGTGCTATGGCCTAGCGGGCAACACCACCACCTGCAATGGCAGCATCCCATATGGGTGCCAGTTAGAGTCTCAGTGCTGGGTAGTTAGCCGCATACCATAATCACTTTTTTTTTTTTTTTAAAAAAAAACAGGTTTTTGGTATGTAGTCACATATACAACTTGTGTTTATTAAGTGGTGTTCTTTTAATTTATTTGAAAGGCAGAGTGACCGAGAGAGGGGAAGAAACAGAGCAAAGAGGAGATCTTCCAGGGAGGCTAGCAGGGAGCTGCTGGAAACAGAGCAGCCAGGAGTCCCGCACAGCTGTGGGCTGCTGGAGCCCTAAGTGGAGGCAACACAGCCTCGGCTCCACCTTCTTCACTTTAGTCCTTTCCTACTGAACTCACTTGAATCCTTTCTACCGAATGCGTCTTTTTCTTAACTATGAAGGATCTTCTAAAAGTTGCTAGAAATGTATTAAGAGGCTGGCGCCGAGGCTCACTTGGCTAATCCTCTGCCTGTGGTGGGCAGCCCCGGTTCTAGTCCCAATTGGGGCGCTGGATTCTGTCCCAGTTGCTCATCTTCCAGTCCAGCTCTCTGCTGTGGCCCAGGAAGGCAATGGAGGATGGCCCAGGTCCTTGGGCCCTGCACCCACATGGGAGACCAGGAGGAGGCACCTGGCTCCTGGCTTGGGATCGGCACAATGTGCCAGCCGCAGCGGGATGGCCATGGCAGCCATTTGAGAGGTGAAACAACAGAAGGAAGACCTTTCTCTCTCTCTCTGTCTCTCTCTCTCTCTCGTCTAACCGTGCCTGCCTTCCTATAAATAAATGAAGAAAGAAAAAGAAAGAAAAAGAAAAAAAGGAAATGTATTAAGAAAATCCATGTTTCTATATCAATTTTAACCTAAAATAATTGTTTTTTAAAAGGAATTTTGCAAATCTTTGAAAAGGACTTTTGTGTAAAATGTCCCCTTAGGGGCCTGTAGGGTGAGAGAAAGGATTAGTTCACACCCTACAGGGCTGACCTCCCATAGTGCATGTTCTGGCCACTCCCCTTCCACTCCAGCTTTCTGCCACTGCACCTGGGAAAGCTGTGGGAATGGCCCAAGTACTCCAGCCCCTGCCCCTCTTGGGGGAGACCAGGATGGAATTCCTGGCTCCTGGGCTCAGCCTGGCCCAGCCCTGCCTGTGGCTCCCAGCTGGGGAGGGAGCCAGCAGATGCAAGACAGGTTGTTGTCACTCTTCCTTCCCAATGAAGCTTTTCACAAAGTACCCGCTCCATTCGTTTGATATTCGTGTTGCTCCCTGGGATTTCTTTGGTTGTATCTGTCAAGGTTGCCTGTCCCCAACACTTGATTTTCCACTCTGATGTTCCTTTGAGTTTGGCTACAAATGTCAACGCAAAGGGTGGGGCAAAATGAAGCTGGCTGTCAGACAGAAACCCAGCTCTGGGATTTCCTGAGCTGAGGGCTGATTGGATTCGAACCTGGCCCAGGTATAAAGCCGGAAGGAAGCGCGGAGAGATGGAGCCTCCTTGCGACTGCAGCGGCCACGGGAAACCACCTCTCTCTGAGTCCTAGAGTGTGTTCACCTGGATCAGGATTTCATCCACGGCAGGTAGCTCAATTTCTTATTCTGTTAGGCCATATTTGGTGCCTGTGCTTTTGAGAAAGTCCTTATGCCAAAAGCGTTGAAGACTCCATTTCAACTTTAAAAACGTCTTTGGGAGACGTTGATTAATGCCACCTATGTTATCCTAATATGCTTTATGTGCGTTGTCTCTCTGTTCTCTTCGTGTTTCTCCATGTACTCTTCTGTAGGAGTATTCACGGATGTTTTCAAACATGTATTTATTTTTTGAGTGGCAGGGTTAAGACAGAGAGATGGAGAGACGGGGAAAGAGGTCTTCCCTCCTTGGGTTCTGCTATGACATTGACAAGCCTGGAAAAGAGACCTTCTCATTTCTCCACATTTCGATCTCTGTTAGGGCTTCCCATAGAAAGGAAACCACGTAGCAAATCAGCAGAGAGGGGCAGGCCGCTCTAGCTTAGGTGGTTAATCCTCCGCCTAGGGGCCAGCATCCCCAATGGGCTCTGATTGGAGTTCCAACGGCTCTGCTCTCAACCCTGCTCCCTGAGATGGCCTGGGAAAGCAGTGGAAGGAGATCCAAGTGCTCTGACCCACTGTACCCACGGGGGATGCAGAAGCAGCTCCAGGTTTGGATGGGCCCAGCTCTGGCTGTTGAGGCCATTTGGGGAGTGAACAGGCAGATGGAAGACCTCCCTCTCTCACTCTCTCTCTCTGTGTGTGTGTGTGTGTGTGTGTGTGTGATTCTGCCTGTGAAATGAATGAATCCATCTTTACTAAAGAGAGACTACGTAGAGAAGATCCTCTGGGGGAAATTCTAGGGGGACGATCTAGAACACACCTGGGGACTCAGAGTCGCCCACTTTCCTGTCTTGCAGCCATGACGCCTGAGAGCTCCGGCCCCCAGAACCCCAGCTGCCACATCATGACATTCTACCCAACCATGGAGGAGTTTATGGACTTCAACCAATTTATCGCTCAGATGGAATCTCAGGGTGCACACCGAGGAGGCCTGGCCAAGGTCATCCCACCCAAGGAGTGGAGGGCCAGACAGAGCTACGACGACATGGATGACATCTTGATAGCCCGCCCCCTCAGCAGAAGGCCTATGGGGGCAGGTGTCTTCACTCAGTTCCACAGAAAGAGGAGAGCCATGAGCCTGAGACAGTATCGCCAGCTGGCCACCAGCACAAAATACCAGACCCCAGCGCACCTGACTTTCGAAGAGTTGGAGCAAAAGTACTGGAAGACCCGTGTCTACGATGCCCCGATCTACGGCGCTGGCATCAGCGGCTCTCTGTTTGATGAAAACACGGCACACTGGAACCTCAGGCGCCTGGGCTCGCCTCTGGACCTGCTGGCGCAGGAGTGCGGCGTCGTCATCGAGGGCGTCAACACGCCCTACCTGTACTTTGGCATGTGGAAGACCACGTTCGCCTGGCACACGGAGGACATGGACCTGTACAGCATCAACTACCTGCACTTCGGGGAGCCCAAGACGTGGTACGCGGTGCCCCCGGAGCACGGGCGGCGCCTGGAGCGCCTGGCCGGGCAGCTGTTCCCGGGCAGTTCCCGCAGCTGCCAGGCCTTCCTGCGGCACAAGGTGGCCCTCATCTCGCCCAGCGTCCTGCGGCAGAACGGCATCCCCTTCCGCCGCGTCACTCAGCAGGCTGGCGAGTTCATGGTGACCTTTCCTTACGGCTACCACGCGGGCTTCAACCACGGCTTCAACTGCGCCGAAGCCATCAATTTCGCCACCCCGCGCTGGATCGACTATGGCAAAGTGGCCTCCCAGTGCAGCTGCGGGGAGGCCAGGGTCACCTTTGACATGGACCCCTTCGTTCGTATCCTGCAACCCGAGCGCTACGAGCTGTGGAAACGCGGGCAAGACCGTGGCGCTGTGGCCCTCCCGGAGCCCATGGGCCAAACAAGCCAGGATCCACACACTAGCCGGGAGCCAGGCACCAGCCAGCGTTCTCACCAGCCAGGGGCCAAGCCTCAGCCAGGAGCCACGCAGCAGTGAGGAACCTCACAGCAGCCAGGAGCTTCTCACCAGCCAGGGGCCAAGCCTCAGCCAGGAGCCAGGCACCAGTGAGGAGCCATGCAGCAGCCAGAAATCACGCCGCTGCCTGAAGCCGCGCCCCAGCCACGCGTTGTGCACCAGCCAGGAGCTGACGGCCTGTAGGCAGGATCGCGGGCTCTGGAGGGCTGCCCTGGGCCTCAGGCAGCTTTCCTCGCCCCAGGCTAGGTCCACTGGGCCTGTGCCGGCCTCTGGTAGCACCCGTCGAGCTGCTCCTGTGGGCCCCGGATCTCAGTTGGCTCTGGGCCGCAGCAGTGATGTCACACTGCACACTGACGTTCGCAGGTCCAGGCAGCCCAGCCTGGCCTGGTTACCGACTCCAGCTCTGTCTGCCGAGGCTGTGCGCCTGTCAGCTGCCAGACCTAGTCGTGGTCGTGGTCGGCGTCCTCGGCCACTGCAAGCTGAGGAGCCCAGCCTGGAGGTTCCACCCAAGAGGCGGCTGTTGTCCCCCTCTGCACACACCGATGCTGGCGCCGAGGCTCCGCCCCTGCCCAGTGATGGAGCTTCAGAGGTCAGTGCTACTCAGAGCCCTGAACGCCCGTTTCCTGCCAAGGCTTCGGGATGTTGCTGCGCCCCGGATCTTCAACCCTTGGGGCCCCCGCTGGATCCCCATGCCCCGATGCACCCGGGCCCCTGCCTGCTCTCCTTGGACAGCATCACCGTGGGTCTCCCTGACGTGGTGCCGCTGACTCCTCCCAGCACCAGCGTGCAGCCATTCAGAAGCTTCTGCAGGGACACTGCTGGGGACTGGGCGTCTCCTGGGAATCAGGCAGAGGATGGGGTGGTGCGCCGCACTTGCGCCTCCAGAACCTTGGCTGCGTCTGTGCTTGCCCCCGGCCCTGGTTGCCTGATGCTAGTCCCCTCTGGCTCAAGCCACAGGGAGGCGCTTTCTGGTGGCATGAGCCAAGTTCAGCACCAGTGAACGCTCTTCAGCCCCTGAGCCCTTGACCATTCTCTGTGACTGTGCAGTGGCCCCTGACCCTCAGAACCTGTAAAGTTCCCAGCCACGGGAGCATTCGTCCTGGCCTGTCCCCACTGGAGACCTAGTACCTGACTGGCATTCTGATTTCTGCCTGTTATGCATTCCTCGTGCAAAGAGAAACGAGAACTCCTTGGCGTGTTTTTCAACTTAAATTGTATATGAAGCAGAGTAGATGAAAGGTAGTCAATGATTGTATTTTTGTATTCTTGTTGCTGAAGTTGTTTTAATTGCTCAAATAAACTTCACTGAATGAATTTAGTCTAAGTTTTTTCTCTAAGCTGGTTTAAAAAAGAAAATGTAGGAATAAGCTTATCTTAGCAATGCAGTCAGAACAAAAGGGATAGGATCAAGTACTCATGAATGCCAATGGCAGCTGACAAAATTCAAGCCTAGGTAGGCCTTGTTTCAAAACATACCACCACGAGGAAGCTGCATACCCTCTGAAGATGCAGACTTTTTATTTAGTTACTATTTAGTACCAAAGTCAGCATTTTACTGAAGAAGAAATACTTGATACATGTCTAGCAAAATATATAGAATTTAGAGGCATCCCTAATACAAAATGAAGGTTATATGTGCAGGAAGGCAGGTGGCAAAATGTATTTATTGTTGCAGTTGGTAGAAACGGAATAGCAGGACAACCCGGGGTGGGGAGAGTCTCGTCTTCCTTTTCTCCCTGATCTTCACCCTAAGAGGGATTCTTGGCTGCCCAGAATTACAGCCCCAGACTCTTTAGTAAAATGTTCACGGGCATGTCGGCCACGAGGAAGCAGATGATAAGTTTATTTTTTTAAAGATTAGTTATTTGCTTGAAAGTCAGTGTTAAACAGAGAGAGAGAGAGAAGGAGAGGGACAGAGAGAGAGAGAGAGAGAGAGAGAGGTCTTCCATCTGCTGGTTTACTCCCCAATTGGCCACAAGGGCCAGAGCTGCGCCGCTCCAAAGCCAGGAGCCAGGAGACTCTTCCAGGTCCCCACGGCTCCACGGCTACGCAGGGGCCCAAGCACTTGGGCCATCTTCATGCTTTCCCAGGCCACAGCAGAGTGCAGGATTGGAAGTTTAGCACCCTGGACTCAATTGGCGCCCATATGGGATGCTTGCAGGACTGGCAGTGGCTTTCACCGGCTATGCCACAGCAGTGTCCCTGCATTGCAAATCGGAATGACATACCACTACACTCTCACTCGATTGGACAACACTCAAAGTTGATACTCATCCAGAGCTTGACAAAGTGAAAAGTGTAAATTGTCCTCCTAGGCAGAGAGTGTTTCAACTGATACAAACTTGGGCAGAACAGTTTGAATGGTCAAGTGTGCATTCACAGACACGTTTTCCAAGATCTGTTCTTCTCTTTTTGAAAGATGTATTCATGCATTCGAAAGGCAGAGTTAGAGAGAGGCAGTGATCCTCTGGTTCACTCCCTAATGGCCTCAACCTCCAGAGCTGAGACGATCCTAAGCCAGGAGCCAGGAGCCAGGAGCCAGGAGCTTCTGCGTCTCCCATGTGGTGCAGTCCTGGGGCCATCCTCTGTGGCATACCCAGGTACAATAACAGGGAGCTGGACCTGATGAGGTAGCCCGGACTGGAACCAGCACCCATGTGGGATGCTGGCCCCATAGGTCCTAGACATCGGCTTTACCCGCTGTGCCACAGCGCCGGCCCCTTCCACAGAGCTTTGAAGTACACTTGAATGAGGCTGCTGCCAGCACATGACATGGTTGACAATACACATTTTTATGAATAGAATGAGCACACTGAAATTAGAATGAAAATGAATACATACATTAGAAATAGTTGTTTATCGTCAAGTACTGCGTGCATAAGACACTATTTCAATGCGTTTCATTAATTTAATAAGAATGTAGCGGATGTATCAATTGCACATATTAATGTGATTCTGTGTGATGTCTTGATGCATGTGTACATTGTGTAATAGCTATTCATGGGACTGGTGCTATGGCCTAGCGGGCAACACCACCTGCAATGGCAGCATCCCATATGGGTGCCAGTTAGAGTCTCAGTGCTGGGTAGTTAGCCGCATACCATAATCATTTTGTTTTTTTTTTTAAAAAAAAAAACAGGTTTTGGTATGTAGTCATATACAACTTGTGTTTATTAAGTGGTGTTCTTTTAATTTATTTGAAAGGCAGAGTGACCGAGAGAGGGAAGAAACAGAGCAAAGAGGAGATCTTCCAGGGAGGCTAGCAGGGAGCTGCACTGGAAACAGAGCAGCCAGGAGTCCCGCACAGCTGGGCTGCTGGAGCCCTAAGTGGAGGCAACACAGCCTCGGCTCCACCTTCTTCACTTTAGTCCTTTCCTACTGAACTCACTTGAATCCTTTTACCGAATGCTTTTTCTTAACTATGAAGGATCTTCTAAAAGTTGCTAGAAATGTATTAAGAGGCTGGCGCCGAGGCTCACTTGGCTAATCCTCTGCCTGTGGTGCTGGCAGCCCCGGTTCTAGTCCCAATTGGGGCGCTGGATTCTGTCCCAGTTGCTCATCTTCCAGTCCAGCTCTCTGCTGTGGCCCAGGAAGGCAATGGAGGATGGCCCAGGTCCTTGGGCCCTGCACCCACATGGGAGACCAGGAGGAGGCACCTGGCTCCTGGCTTGGGATCGGCACAATGTGCCAGCCGCAGCGGGATGGCCATGGCAGCCATTTGAGAGGTGAAACAACAGAAGGAAGACCTTTCTCTCTCTCTCTGTCTCTCTCTCTCTCTCTGTCTAACCGTGCCTGCCTTCCATAAATAAATGAATAAAGAAAGAAAAAGAAAAGAAAAAGAAAAAAAGAAATGTATTAAGAAAATCCATGTTTCTATATCAATTTTTACTAAAATAATTGTATTTTTAAAAGGAATTTGCAAATCTTTGAAAAGGACTTTTTGTAAAATGTCCCCTTAGGGGCCTAGGGTGAGAAAGGATTAGTTCACACCCTACAGGGCTGACCCCATAGTGCATGTTCTGGCCACTCCCTTCCACTCCAGCTTTCTGCCACTGCACCTGGGAAAGCTGTGGGAATGGCCCAAGTACTCCAGCCCCTGCCCCTCTTGGGGGAGACCAGGATGGAATTCCTGGCTCCTGGGCTCAGCCTGGCCAGCCCTGCCTGGCTCCCAGCTGGGGAGGGAGCCAGCAGATGCAAGAAGGTTGTTGTCACTCTTCCTTCCCAATGAAGCTTTTCACAAAGTACCCGCTCCATTCTTTGATATTCGTGTTGCTCCCTGGGATTTCTTTGGTTGTATCTGTCAAGGTTGCCTGTCCCCAACACTTGATTTTCACTCTGATGTTCCTTTGAGTTTGGCTACAAATGTCAACGCAAAGGGGGGCAAAATGAAGCTGGCTGTCAGACAGAAACCCAGCTCTGGGATTTCCTGAGCTGAGGGCTGATTGGATTCGAACCTGGCCCAGGTATAAAGCCGGAAGGAAGCGCGGAGAGATGGAGCCTCCTTGCGACTGCAGCGGCCACGGGAAACCACCTCTCTCTGAGTCCTAGAGTGTGTTCACCTGGATCGATTTCATCCACGGCAGTAGCTCAATTTCTTATTCTGTTAGACCGTATTTGGTGCCTGTGCTTTTGAGAAAGTCCTTATGCCAAAAGCGTTGAAGACTCCATTTCAACTTTAAAAACGTCTTTGGGAGACGTTATTAATGCCACCTAGTTATCCTAATATGCTTTATGTGCGTTGTCTCTCTGTTCTCTTCGTGTTCTCCATGTACTCTTCTGTAGGAGTATTCACGGATTTTTCAAACATGTATTTATTTTTGAGTGGCAGGGTTAGACAGAGAGATGGAGAGACGGGGAAAGAGTCTTCCCTCCTTGGGTTTCTGCTATGACATTAACAAGCCTGGAAAAGAGACCTTCTCATTTCTCCACATTTCGATCTCTGTTAGGGCTTCCCATAGAAAGGAAACCACGTAGCAAATCAGCAGAGAGGGGCAGGCCGCTCTAGCTTAGGTGGTTATCCTCCGCCTAGGGGCCAGCATCCCAATGGGCTCTGATTGGAGTTCCAACGGCTCTGCTCTCAACCCTGCTCCTGAGATGGCCTGGGAAAGCAGGGAAGGAGATCCAAGTGCTCTGACCCACTGTACCCACGGGGGATGCAGAAGCAGCTGGTTGGGGGCCCAGCTCTGGCTGTGAGGCCATTTGGGGAGTGAACAGGCAGATGGAAGACCTCCCTCTCTCACTCTCTCTCTCTGTGTGTGTGTGTGGGTGTGTGTGTGTGATTCTGCCTGTGAAATGAATGAATCCATCTTTACAAAGAGAGACTACGTAGAGAAGATCCTCTGGGGGAAATTCTAGGGGGACGATCTAGAACACACCTGGGACTCAGAGTCGCCCACTTTCCTGTCTTGCAGCCATGACGCCTGAGAGCTCCGGCCCCCAGAACCCCAGCTGCCACATCATGACATTCTACCCAACCATGGAGGAGTTTATGGACTTCAACCAATTTATCGCTCAGATGGAATCTCAGGGTGCACACCGAGGAGGCCTGGCCAAGGGTCATCCCACCCAAGGAGTGGAGGGCCAGACAGAGCTACGACGACATGGATGACATCTTGATAGCCCGCCCCCTCCAGCAGAAGGCCTATGGGGGCAGGGTCTTCACTCAGTTCCACAGAAAGAGGAGAGCCATGACCCTGAGACAGTATCGCCAGCTGGCCACCAGCACAAAATACCAGACCCCAGCGCACCTGACTTTCGAAGAGTTGGAGCAAAGTACTGGAAGACCCGTGTCTACGATGCCCGATCTAGGCGCTGGAATCAGCGGCTCTCTGTTGATGAAAACACGGCACACTGGAACTCAGGCGCCTGGGCCCTCTGGACCTGCTGGCGCAGGAGTGCGGCGTCGTCATCGAGGGCGTCAACAACGCCCTACCTGTACTTTGGCATGTGGAAGACCACGTTCGCCTGGCACACGGAGGACATGGACCTGTACAGCATACT